TGGGCCTGGTTAGACTTTGAAAGATCTACGTGATAACTACTGTCAATTATATCACATACTAGATTCAGTGCGATGGTTGATGTTATATTAGCAATATTTGGTAAAATATGACGACCTCTTCCATACAGGTCATTATTATATCTGAGAACTGTTGGGAGCAGGATCAATTTTTTCCATGAATCACATATTCTTTTAAAGTGTTCATCAATAAGATCATTAACTGATTTCTTCTGCTCCTCAGAGTTAAATCCAGGTATTACAAATGTTGATAGTTGTTCTCTTGTAATTCCAAAATGTTTCAGAAATACTGTCGTGAAAAGATTATCTGCTCTAACTCGCAGAATTTGATCGCCTTCATTAACTATATACGCTCTATAGATTCTATCTGCTAGGTTTACTTATATTTTTTCTCTTTTAACAATGATATCATTCATGGAATCTAGGTCTAAAGCAACTTGATTTAAATGTTGTATTATTTCAATTATTTGAGTTTTTAAATCATCGTTGTAAGAAATATTAATACTTGAAAATATTTTTTTTAGATTATTTAAGACACGCTCGTGTTCAGACTTAATTGTACTAGCATATGAATTTATTTTATCAACAGCAAGTACTATTATTTTACCTTTATTACCATCAATTGTTTTTGTAAAATAGGCTTCTGTTTTATCTATATAATGTATACCTCCATCACCAAAATGTCGTCGCCATGGATAAGTATTTTTTTCTGTTTGATATTCTGGAGGGTTTATAAATTTCTCAACATCTATAATGAAATCGGATCTTTGTGGTTTTCTTGGAACTTGATAAGCTGGTGCAACTTCAAGCCATCCTAATACTGATCAACTCGAACATTGAAAAATATCTACAGCATAATCAGGAGAATTTATTTCAATCACCGACGATAATGTTGGTTCGTAAAGAGTAATTGCTATTTTGGATTCTTTTCCTCTAATAGATTTAATTATGTCCTGGAATTCCTCATTGATTTGCTCTATTTAATAGCTGCCAGTTGGAATACTAACTACTTGCCAATCTGGAGTTCCATCAGATTTATTCTTGTTTGCAACTACTAATGAATTATTTGGATGTAGTCCACCAAATGGTTTTGATCTAATATTAGGCCAGCTATAATAAAATCGTAACTGAGCTAATGCTATCTCTTTTACTGGAAATTGCTGTTGGAAAGTTAACACTGAATTCAGGATTGGTCGAACTTATTGATATCATAGTAGTTTTTGACGGTGTTGTATTAGTGATGATCTGCTGTAATAACTCTCTCGACTCAATCTCCGAACGATGTTCAGTTGCTGACATTATTATTGTTGTTGTTTAATTCTCCATTTCTTTTACTTTGGTTATTGTCACAAGAATCATTAGCAATTCTGAATGCTTCATCATAGGTTTTCATTATCATTGCAAACTCCTCGTCAGATATTTTACCATCACTGAGATACGTGGAAATATATCCAGATAGTTTAGAATAGGTTTCTGTTGCTGTGTGTAATTTTATCATATACTCACACAATTTATCATTTGCACATGTAGCTATCTTTTTAGCAATAATACTAAAAATACCTGCTATAGGTGTTGAAGTTGAAACAATAATTGTTATAATTGTTGGACCTGTCATTGTTAATGTTGATAATATTAATCTGGCTTTAGCAACAGTAGCAGAAACTGAGTACACAGTTATATCAATGACAACCATATGTCTGAGATATTTTTTCTTTTACTGTATAATTGTCGATGGTATTTTTTAGTTTGGTTAGGCATTCATATGCTTGATTATATCTGTGACGTTGAACGTCGATAGATGACGTGGTCATTTGATCCAGGTTAGCTCAGTAGGTAAATTGAATGGATACCATGCCAAAGGTACAGTATAGTTCCAATCCAGGACAGAAAAAGTATTCTTAGAAACGTTACTTACCACAAGGCTGGTTTTTCGGCATATTGTTTTTGTTATCTGAGGACAATTATACTGGTAAGACGCTAATGATATAGTTGCAGCTTTGTCTTATTATCTGAAAATGCAGCGTGTGTGAAGTGTTATCATATTTGCAAGTGATCCCTAACTGCTTAAAAATATACCATAGAGTTCTGTATTGGATTTTGGCCCATACGACCATGCATGCAAAGATATAACATGGGATCGATTCCTAATTAAATCCGACCTTTTGCGTTTTGATTTCGGAATCCAGTATATACGTAAACCGCTTCTGTAAAATTTGCAGAAATGAAAACAACACATATGATAAAAAAAAATTGTTCAATTAAAGTACATTATTTAGCAACGAAGAAGGCATTTTCATAGTAGAACATGTCGGAACACAAGCATTTTAGAAACAAGGTTGCATGTTTTCTACCGTCAAAGAATTGACATTTTGACACCATCGGTCTTAAAGTACAATTTCTTTCATATTATGTTTACAATCAAATTTGTATGAAAATTTATTTTTATATTAAATATGAAATGTTTAAATCCAAGGAGTGATCAACATAATTCGCAACTTTTGCCTGGAGCAATTGCTGAACAAAAATGTATCTTCACAGCTTGTTATTACTTAGTGTTAGTGCCTCTATTATTCAACGTTTACAGATTATGTGACCGCTCCGGTTAGATAGGTGATTAGAACGTCCGCTTCGGATGCGGGAGGTTGCGGTTTCGAACCCCGGCCGATTCATACCAAAGACCAATAGAGTAGTACAAGAAGCTGCTTCGCTTGGTGCTCAGCATTAATAAGTTACTGGATAGTGTTTGAGCTGGTCGGTTTGAGATCAGGATAATGTGACTGGGTGGGATATAATGCCATATATATATATATATATATATATATATATATATATATATATATATATATATATATATATATATATATATATATATATATATATATATACGGCATGATGCTCCAGTGATAGACATTACAATAAACTGCCATACTGCAGACATTGGAGAGATATGACTCAAATTGTTAAAGCTACGTTTCAAATCCAAACTACATTCACCCAAAGAGATTCTGTATTTTACTTTAGGATAACATTCTTATTTGTTAATTGGCACTTTGCAGGAAAGAACTACAAAGTCCTGCGTTCTTTAACACATTTCGGACATTACTTTCGATTCGTATATTGTTTGTTGTGTTTTTGTTTTACCTATCCACATTTCTCACACTCTATATGCATGCTGTCGATTCCTGCTTTAATTAATATGAAGTAAATCTAATGATAAATTAAAGTCGAAAAAATAATGATAAGGAAATAGTTTTCACTTATCGGGTCTGTTAAGAGCAAATAATTTATAGTTTCATCTATTTTTTCTTGAAATCTTTCAAATATTTTGTTACAAGCCAGGGTATTTGCTTGACCGAGCGGTGTCAAACTCTGGCGCTATTCCGCTATAAGTCATAAGTATGTCTCAAATGTTCAAAGACTTCCATACAAATTCAGTTTTATATTAGAAATACCAACGTGTCGATTCTATACATACATTTTACTCTAATCAATGCTATACCTCAGATCTCACAACTATCCATTTGTATATCAGCTGCACATCTGTATGTTTTCTCTTCATCAACTTTTCGTACAGTCAGCAGTTCACGCCGTAAAACTATACAACTTCCCCAAACACAGGGAACTATTTTTATTACGCCACCTTAGGCCAGTCAATTCATTGTGTTAAGGGACATTTCGCCTGTAAAACTGCATCACATTTGCCACAATGGCGACATAAATTGTATCTGCAGAGTCCTTTCGTATTTATTCATTTGTGTAATTTACCAGTCTCCTACCGTAAATACTGCAACTGCAGTCACACCATCAATGTACACAACATGATTTTGATAGGGACTATGGAACGACAGGGACACTCATGCGGCTCTGACCTGAATTCACTAAAATAAACCATGGCATTATGAAAACTCACTAACACTTCAAGTTGTGACGTTTGCTCCTCGTAATTTGCTAATTAATTCAGACTAAGGAATATTTCCACTGCACTAAATTCCAATGATCAAGCAAGTAGTTACACAAATCTAAGAATTCATAAAAACGGGGCGCTATAACCAAATACGCATGGTCCAAATTTATTACAATATTATTTAAACTAATCATTTTGAGTTACACTTAATTAATTTTTTCCAAGAAATAATTACATAAACAATGTCGAATTCAATTTTTCCTTTAATTAGTTCAATAAAATTCAGGAAACGTTCTGCTTGTATTATTTTGTATACGTTTGTATATGTTTGATTTTGCTCTAAAAATGCTGAGAATAATTCGCTACGCAAATGCTGTCACTGTACTAATTTACAATCCCATATGGTAGATAATTCGTACTGCACAATGATTTTATGCAAACGGTGATTAATTCCCTTACAAAGTCAGTAGGAGCAGGCAATACAATCTTGCGAAATAATGCAAACGTGGAATTGCATGTGATAGATTTAATAGAATTATCTAACTTTAAAACTAACTGACCAGGGTATATTTTACTTAAAGGTAGGACTTTCAACATCAGTTATCAGTTATCTTGTGATCTATTAGTGTAAAAGATCATTTTTAGGGTAATGAATATCCACTTGCGACAAAACACTATTCTTTCTTATTCGTTATTTTGCAAAAGATAAATCTCTCTCTCTCTCTCTCTCTCTCTCTCTCTCTCTCTCTCTCTCTCTCTCTCTCTCTCTCTCTCTCTCTCTCTCTCTCTCTCTCTCTCTCTCTGTAGAGTGTAATTAAGTTACGGCTTTGGCCATATATCGCAATAATTCCTGCTAATGTGATTTGGATTCTTAATGTATCTTTAAAATAATTTCCGTCATATTTCTACGATGTCTGCATGTTTATAGTGATATATAACTCTGGCGCATCATGCCGCAGACATAAAGCCTCATATCCCACCCAGTCATATTATCCGGACACCAGGCTGACCAGTCCTAACACTAACCTCTAAATGCTGAGCGTATTAGCATGTGTTAGCACCATTTTTGTCTTTTGTATGCCTCGGCAGGGGTTCGAACCCTCGACCTTTCGCATCCGAGGAGGACGCTATAATCACTTAGGCCACAGAATCGGTCACAAGAATTGGTTAGAACTTTTAATCAGTCCCGTACATTATTTTACTAGCGATACAATCAATTTAATTGTTATAATCCCTTATCCTGATAAAATCCACTTTGCTATCATTTTTCTTTACAGTAGGCAAATAAAACGTAATGTAAATTGCTTTTGTAAATTTGTCAAGCTAATAGTCTCTAAAAGTCACTCGAAGGGACAGAGATTGTGTTGTTTATGGAGCGGTTTGTGATATCTAGCTAGTCCCTAGTAACCACTTACTTGACGTTAACTCATACTGGCGACTGGGTAGTTTTTAGAGTAGAGCTATCAGTTTCTGAAATCACTTTTTGAGTTTAGAGTTATGTTGATGATAGAGTATTTGGTACATCCAACTAACAGCCTCTAATAGTTACGTACTGGACTTATGCTTTTATCTTGGCGACGGTGCTGTTTGATACTTTCAGGAAATACATTATAATAGTTATTAACCCCTACGTGTATGTATGGTTGATATGACACTACTGGTGGAGTGATTTCTGGGGTTTTTTTTTGTATCTTTCGGATTAATGCCGCTTATCGCTTTGGCGGCATGCGGGACCTTTAATTATTTAGCGATAAACAGCCTATGTTTATATTTGCCCATCATTTCATTGACGATGCGAGAAGGACTTGTACAATGGTCAATAACAATTGCAATGCGCGCAAAGTTATTTGTGGTACAATGATACTTTTGGGCAACACAATTATTTAGAATGCTAGTATTGAAGTGTTAACACTGTTATAATGGTGTTTGGAAAGACACCACAGCGATCACCAACTTGGCAAGTGCTGCTCGTGTTGAGACAAACTTTGCCAAAGTTTGGTTGGCGCGAGAAGTATTACGGCAGATTTATTTATCACCATCAAAATACTACATGTAAGTGGTTTCACGTCGAACACCCAACAAAGTTTACCATGCCGATATTTTGTTTCTGCCTCACGACGGCATAAGATGATACAAGCTGACCGCCATCGATGTAGTCAGTCGATACAAGGAAGCTGACCGCCATCGATATAGTAAGTCGATACAAGGAAGTTGACCGCCATCGATATAGTCAGCCGATACAAGGAAGCTGAACTGTTGACATCTAAAACTTCTACCGCGGCTGCAGGCACATTCGGGAGCATACGGGTACGTCTACCACTACGTTGATTACAGCTGCTGAACATTGATCCGCGTAGCGAGTTTCTCGGAGAAATAGTCGCGTTGATGAAACTGTATTAAAATTCGTCAGGAACATGTTAGTTCATTTATCCTTCGTTCAACGATTTAACCGTGCACATCACTACGCGCAGATTGGGCAGCAAGACTACCTAAGGTCCTAGCCGCACTGAACAATGAAGTGACGCCAGCAAGTGAGATGAATCCCTGATACAATTAGAAAATAAAATAGTAACATCTGTGTCTGTCGCCGCCGTGATTGTTCACCTTGAACCAATATTACATGGCGCAGGAGGCGTGTCATGAGTTATTTTTGTGCCACTAGAAAGTGAAATAAGAAGACCTACTGTCTCTATCTGGAGTTTTGACCACGCATACAATTTCATAAGTGAACCGTCGCAGCAATTTCCCGTCGATTTTTTTTTTTTACCTCGAAATGCCAGCACTTATAAGCAATTATGTCCATGAGAAATCGCAAGTGATGCCGGCGGATATGCAGTTACTTCCACGAAGGTTTATGCAGTGACGAGGACGCTAGCACCCCTATGTCGGCTGCACTCAAGACACGACATCATGACGTTATCACCTAGATTATTAATACGATCTACGGTAAATTTTTCATAATCACCAGGGGATTAATCCAATAACATGCAGACGACGCTACATTGTTTGCAATGATTGGTTTGTTGTTGCGCCAAGTCGATAATATAATTAATGGTGAAAACAAAATAGTATGCTAACACTCTGAGCTTGGGAATGCCTCACACGTTTGTTTGTCGCAACATCGGTAAGATTATATTGTGTTTCATGGTGAAAATTTTATGTGGTAAATTGACGCCATATTGTGCATGTCCAATTTTGTCAAATCAATAATCGCTTTGTCCTATTAGAAATGAATCTGTTTTGGTCACTGTTTATCTTCATATAATCAATACACATAAGGGAAGTATTTTATGGGTTCATGACAACAATGTATGGTGAAATCAAGTCACTATAACATGAGACAATAAAATAATTCTCAAGCAAATGTTCAATTTCTTTTCGAAACATTCCTACTTGAAAGGATAAATCCTTTTAGGATGCCGTTTCACAGGTGTAGAACTAAAAATTTCAACGTTACTGTAGATGTATTTTGTTCTTATTTGAACAACTGTAAACGAGAACTCATATACACGTTATAACTTTTTTTGTTCATTCTTCCTGTGGTAGTAAATGTGGGAGTTTCTAGTCCAAATTGTTTGCATTATTATTATTATTATTATTATTATTATTATTATTATTATTATTATTATTATTATTATTATTATTAGTCAGGATTGTTTGGTATTTCTGAATTCCGATAACGGGTTATACCAAAGTCAGTAGAGTCAGCTGGCATTTAACAATCTCACTGTGTGGCACAAGTCTAAATTGATTGAATGATTAAAAAGGTTTTCTCTTTCAAAGTGCTCTATATGAGAAACCTGCTTCTGTTTCCTCCTCCCAGTGGTGTTCATGATATAATTTAAGGCACTTACTTCCTTTCGAATTGTATAACGAACATAATACTTTGACTAAAGATGAGATCGAGATATGGAAAATAGAGCCAAAACTCTACCAAGGTATGGAAAATAGATCCACAACTCTATCAAGGTATGGGAAAGAGAGCCACAACTCTATCAGGTATGGGAAAGAGAGCCACAACTCTATCAAGGTATGGGAAAGAGAGTCACAACTCTATCAAGGTATGGGAAAGAGAGCCACAACTCTATCAAGGTATGGGAAGGAAAGCCATAACTCTATCAAGGTATAGGAAAGAGAGCCAAAACTCTATCAAGGTATGGGAAAGAGAGCCACAATTCTATCAAGGTATGGGAAAGAGAGCCACAACTCTATCAAGGTATGAGAAAGAGAGTCACAACTCTATCAAGGTATTGGAAAGATAGCCACAACTATCAAGGTATGGAAAATAGAGCCACAACTCTATCAAGGTATTGGAAAGAGAGCCACAACTCTATTAAGGTATGGGAAAGAGAGCCACAACTCTATCAAGGTATGGGAAAGAAAGCCACAACTCTATCAAGGTATTGGAAAGATAGCCACAACTATCAAGGTATGGGAAAGAGAGTCACAACTCTATCAAGGTATGGGAAGGAGAGCCACAACTCTATCAAGGTATGGGAAAGAGAGCCATAACTCTATCAAGGTATGGGAAAGATAGCCATAACTCTATCAAGATATGGGAAAGAGAGCCACAACTCTATCAAGGTATGGGAAAGAGCCACAACTCTATCAAGGTATGGGAAAGAGAGCCACAACTCTATCAAGGTATGGGAAAGAGAGCCACAACTCTATCAAGGTATGGGAAAGAGAGCCACTACTCTATCAAGGTATGGGAAAGATAGCCATAACTCTATCAAGGTATTGGAAAGAGAGCCACAACTCTATCAAGGTATTGGAAAGAGAGCCACAACTCTATCAAGGTATTGGAAAGAGAGCCACAACTCTTATCAAGGTATGGGAAAGAGAACCATAATTCTATCGAGGTATGGGAAAGAATGCTATAACTTTATCACCAGGCTAAAACCTTTTCTTCCTTCGTAGTTTTCACATACCTTAATTTCATTTTAGACTGAGTAAAGATTAGGTCTTGAAACTTCACAAGCGTTTTCCAACTTAAATTTGAAGCCAGAGACACAGCCAAAAAGTTTAATTTCTGAATCTTCGGTTAAAAGAAGTTTATCTGTAAATAACTTCAGCGGTCTACGGACAGTATCTGAACCTAGTTTAGAGAGACACACAAACCAAAGTATTCTTGGACAAATTCCCTAACATCAAACAAAAGCAACAAATACCCAATCCTTTCCTGTATAATTTTGATGAAATCTTTTTAAATCCCCATGATAATCATGGTGATAGACAGAATACTTAAACTTTTATATACTTAATTCATGCATAACGTATTGGAAAATTCCAGACATAAAATGTAACTCTTGATTACATTGGACATTTTGGGTAAGGCCAAAAAGTGTAAAAAAAATTAATCAAGTGTACTGTGGTTTTAATTTGTAATATTCCTTTGAAAATCTTGTAGAGTCTCACAATATATGCAATAAGCATTGGTTGCTTGACTTGGTCTTAGGGAATGCACCGGTACAGTCTACCATTATTTTCCTAAATGGCTCGCCAAATGCTGAAATTGTCTGATTGGGTTTTCCTATAATTTAAATTTTAACTTTAAAAGCAATTTTATTTTGTTTTGAAATATTTTAAGTAATTTATATGCCGAAGTAGCTCCAAATGTTTGTTACCACTCTATAGTCTTAAAATAAATAAAAACCCAAAACCAATAAGTTTAGTAAAATTCAACAAATAATTTAATTCTCTGGTTTATGAGATAAAAAATGTAAGAGGAAATTACGTTATTGTGAACATTAAAATCCACAGTTTTAACGGTGTAGAACAGGTCTTGAGGTATATAATGTCTATGAAGTAAAATTGAATGTATTGATGTACCAATAGCCTTGAATAGTTTGATGTACCAACAGTCTTGATGTGTCACAATATCTTGAATACATTCACAATGATCATAATTTGCTATCAATTCAGTTTTTGAGCATCTTAGTAATTCCATATATACATACGAAATGATCAAGGTTGAGTAAAAGGGTCTACCTAGTTTTATTTCCGGGTCTCTGGGTTGACAAAGGTAACACGAACATCCATTCTGAGAATTTAATGATAAAACAGATGAGATGATGAGATACGTCTTGTATGTTTTCTAATCTGATCGAGAATAAAAAAGCCATGATTCTTATAAAATGTTACCATACTAT